GTAGGTACCTTACTAATAAATTCGAGAGCTTAGGTCAGGTTGCTACAACAGTATCTATATTAGACCTTCAACATCTTGTCGTTCTGGCCATGGCTGGCCCGGCCGTCGCATCTCCGGAACCTGCGCAGGTTGGCACGAGAGTGTCGAAGAGGGAGCAAGCAGGTCTGGCGACGATGCCCCTGGACATCTCCCTCCCTCGAGGACACGCTTCAGAACCGAACGGGCACAGTCCTGGCACACCTTTGAGCAACGGCAACAGCCTGAGAACGCGCTCACGGGAGCAGTCGCCTACAACATATCATGATGCAGTGGAGGACAGCGGAATAGAGTATGTCGACGACGATAACAGCTCTGATAGCGGGAGCGTGGCGTCCATCGAACACGACCAGGGGGAAGAGGGAGGTGCAGGCACAGCCGGAACGCACCCACTTCACGGTCTTCTGGAGTCGAAAATTGCGGAGTTGGAGAGTAGTACGTCGGGCAAGTTGGATGAGGAGGGGAAAGGGATCGGTGAGCCCCTGAAGGCCTCTGAGTGCACACCGGCTGACTCTCTCACTTCAGTTGGAGGATGGACCCAAGAAACCTTTTGCAGTTCTTGAAAAAGGGAGGGAATTGAAGTGGCTGGGGAGGCGTTAGAGACATCAGGACATGTTTTGGAGGAACTGCGTCCTCAATATGGTGGTGGCATCAATCGTTTTTGGAGTATGTACAGTTTGTCAGGTTTCCAGGCTCAATTGTATTGATATGGGCATTGGCACTCACCTCAAGGGTACTCACTTGTATGTTTCACGTCCATCGGTGCTTTTCTTTGTTCCAGTCCTTATGTCTAAAAGAGGGAGGGGGGTGGGTCAATCGAAGTGGGGGCGACTCAGCATTAGAGGGTTTATCCTGCAGCGCCCTCGAATGTGGAGCTTTGAAGGGCTCTAAGTGCCGTCGGCCAACTGGGGTCAGGCTCCGATCAAGTACACTATCAAACCCCTCAGGACATCAATATTCATTGCACAAAGATAACTGCTGTTTGCAGCGAAAGCCCGGAAAAGGCAGGTGAGGGACTTTCGGGCGCTGGTGGAGGCAACGGACCGGACGCCAGATGAGAAACTGCGGGTCCTGAATGGCAAGTTTATGCAACAGGTAAACTTGTGCACTACCTCTCTGACCGCCAGAGCAGATCAGAGGTTCCTTGGAGCGTGGCTGACATCTTTGCAATTTCGAAGTTTCTGCTTGCAGAGCCCCTGTAGGTTGCCTGCTTGTAGTGGTTGCACGAAGCGAGATCGCTACTTTGGTCCAAGAGTTGGCATCAGATATACTATAATCTAGTTCTGCTTGACATGAAGGAGGACCTCAATTCTTTCTGTGTCCCGGTAAATTCTGTTATGAGCAAGATATATGGTGGCAGAGAGATCTGCCGGTTTCTTCAATCGGATGAAGATGTGTTTGTGAGCCTCATGCAGTTGAACGAAACGAGGGCGCTAGAAAGGGAGCTTATGGCGATCCGGAAGAAGTGTGAGCAGCTTCACAAGGAGAAGGACACTGGTGAGCCTTAGAGACGTAGATCTGAAGAAAGCTTGTATGATTCTTTTCTTTCTACCCTTCAGTAAATTGATGCATCCCCGCCAGATATAACAGAGGCGTACCTGATGGAGAGCTTCCCTCAGCATTGACTAACAAATAACAAATGTGTCTTAGTACTAAATCCTTGATTTTCCACCCTGAGAGCTTCTGACAACCGCTTGTGCTGGCCCCAATTGGCTGAAACACTCTCCTGATGACAAGGGTTTCTACATAATTCTCTGGAAAAACAGCCCTCCCATTAATATAGGCCCTGTGGAAGTGCCGCCTTTGGAAGCAGGGGCAATCCAATTGAATCGTCCTGTTGGCATCCTCTTTCGAGTTTCAATTATCTGCAAGCCCGATTGCCACCCAATCAAGATCTCTATGTTTGAAAACCTCCTTCCGTCCTGCAGTTGTGAGTGACCTCGTTAAGGAGCAGTCCATGAAGCAGAAGCTCGAGTCGCTCTGCCGGGAGCTCCAGCGGCAGAACAAGATGGTCCAGGTGAGATTCTGGTCGCAGAAGCTGCTCATACGGAATTGGAGTCCTTTCTGACCAATAGCTTGGGCTGTGTCTCCAAGTTCAGTTGGAGCTCCATAGAGTTGGAACATTCGTCTGGAGATTCTGCTCAGGAAGTAGACTCGTTTCTTATGTCACTTCTCTAGCGTAGTTAGAGCTTCTTGGAATGTCTTCCGTTTGTTCCTCCTTGGTGAGGGCTTCTGCATACGATGTTTACACCTTGTGGTTTGGCAGCGGCTGGGCCAGTTCCTGTGGCCCCATGACGCAAGGCGGATCCTGACTGGCTACTGAACTGGCTACTGATTTTAGCATCTCGACAGTCTCCCGCCGTGACAGAACTCCATGCCTCAGCTTCTTCTACCAGTTCGTGATTGCGGAAACACGTGCAAGATTAGTATCGAAGTGAACCGCACTCTGCGGAAGCTTGCGCAGCCTGATGCCCCGTGTGAGGACTTCACTTAGCTGAACATTGTCATGTGTCACTTTCAAGATTGAACACCTGACACACTGTGCAGCGAGTTGCCCGATGTCTACGTCGCGCAATCGAAGCCGCGACCACTGTCGAAATACCTGGCGTCTCTTTCGGAAACAAAGCCATCCTTTGATACAAAGGTTTCAGATTTGCATAGACGCATTCGATCTGTTTCCAAGTTTCCAGGATTGTCATCCCTCCCAAGGTTGGAGAGGCGTTCCACAGGTGACTTGCCCCAGAGACTCGGTCCTTTGCATGTGTACAAAGTGCCTTTTCCCCTCTGCAGGAGGACAGCAAGCGTGTTGCGTCGGACGAGCAGAACAAGCGGCAGGAGTTGTCGACCAAGTTTCACAACACGATCAAGGAGATCACGTCGAAACTGGAGGACCAAGGGGACGAGAGGCTGCGGCAGCTCAAAGAAAACGAGATGTGAGCTTGTTCTCCAACGATGACGTCACATGCGTTCGGACTGGTAGCGCTGGGAGACGTGTGCTGAGTGACGTCTGCGGTGAGGGCATGCGTTCAAGGAGCACACGCTTGTAAGCCCCTTTTCGTCGATGACGTGCCATAAATACCCGACTTTGTGAGTTGTGTGCATGTGACAGGTGTGTAACAGTGGGAAAAAGTGTTGCTTCTTGGTGCAACTCTGACCTGTCGCTTCGGGTGGGTTGACGCACTTCACCTGCCTCCGCTTTGTCCATCGAGTTTGTCAAACGATCGGCGAGCTTCGCGGCTGGTCGGCTCCTTCCCGACTCCGTCTCCGTTCTTCGTATTGTATCTGTCGTCTCCAAGTTCTCCGGTCTGCGGGTTGCACAAGATGCTGAGACATTTGTTCTTCCGCTCCCTTTTATTCCTTCCTCTTGTCTTTTGTCATCTGCCTTAACGTTCTCCGGTCTACAGGTTGCACGAGAAGCTGAAGCCCTTTCACGGACTTTTTCCGTTCTCGCCTTTCCTAATCCTTCAGCTTCTTCCTCTTGGCTCTGTTTAACCGACTCTTCATTTTCCGTCCTGCAGAATGCCGAGAAGCTGAAGCAGTCCCGCATTCCTTCCGCTCTCGCCTTTTTCCATTTCAACTGACTCATAACTCTCCGGCCCGCAGGTCGCGCGAGAAGCCGAAGCAATCCACGCACTCCTTCGCTCTCGCCTTTCCTTCATCTCAACTGACTCATAACTCTTCGGGGCCGGCAGGTTGCGCAAGAAGCTGAAGTACTTCCGTACCCTTCAGCTCTCGCCGTTCCTTCATCTCGAGTAACTCTCAACTCTCCGGCCGGCAGGTTGCGCGAGAAGCTGAAGCACTTTATTATACCTTTCGTTTCCGCCTCTCCTCCATCTCTGCAAATTTCTCCCCTTGTCCTACCTCATCTGACCCATATCTCGCCGGCCGGCAGGTTGCGCGAGAAGCTGAAGCACTTTACGCAGCAGTACGAGCTGCGCGAGCAGCACTTTGCGCACCAGCTGCGGACCAAGGCGCTCGAGCAGCAGTTGGTGGAGGCCAAGCTCAAGCAGCAGCAGGAGATGGCCGCGCAGGAGGAGACCAAGGTGAGCGCTGGTCAGGGCATCACTTGTGCGTCAAACTTGCATCGCGTTTCCAAATGCTTGGAGGATGGTTCCTGATTTAGGACCGTGAGATGGACAATCGGATGGCATCCGACGGCTCAAGGTTGCGGACCACTCCAGGCGGGGATATACATGGGGCAGATCAACGCGCTCCTCAAGGCGGGAGGCGAGCTCTGGACCAATTTGTCCGTAGTGTCAGGTTAGGAGTTGCATCTTGTAAGCCCAGAGCTATTGGATTCAAAGACTTAATCTTTTGGCACCACAGGTGCGCATGTACATGGAGCAGATCAACGCGCTGCTCAAGACGGAGGCGGAAGGGCAGCTCAGTGATTCACAGTGCTCGTCTTTGCTTCTTCTCGAGAATATTAAATCCTTGTTTGATGAGTTATTGACACTCCGGTGCGTATGTACACGGAGCAGATCAACGCGCTACTCAAGACGGAGGCAAAGCTGCGCGGGCTCGTAATGTTTTTCATGGTCTTCTTTCTTTGCTCCCACTCTCTTAACCCTTTTCTCCCCTTTTTCTTTTCTCCCCTTTCTTCGATCCTTGATTGTTTGAAACTCTGGCACCCCAGGTGCGCATGTACACGGAGCAGATCAACGCGCTGCGCAAGACGGAGGCGGAGCTGCGCGGGCGGCTATGATTTCATGGTCTCCCTTCTTAGCTCCTACTCC